GCCTTGCAGATCCAAGACTTAGGGGGTTAAGAACACAAGAATTACAACTGAGCCTGGCCCCGAGACAAAGAGCCTAATTTAGAGTTAAGGTACAGATAAGGGCAGAACTTAAGTTAATACTTACACCTTCTTCTAATTGGTGATGTATGGCAGTCCCTTCCCCAAAGTCTACTTTCTGCAAACACCCTCCCTTATAGGTGGCTGGGATGAGGATAGATAAGAGGAGCTAAAACATTACCCACAAACAAAAGGCTGACACATTTAGGGCCTCCATGGTGTTCACACATTCAGCATCAAATAGGTTTCCACAAACAACTTATTAACCAACTCAGAAACATTCATTTGAGAGCCAGACAGAATGACTCTTAGCCCATCTATACACTTAACCTATGACCTAACCTTAGCGTTATTAACTTAGAACAAATATGTATCCTGTCTTTTACTAAGAATACCCTAATTCTCTAGTTATAAGATTCACTTAACCTCACTATAATTGGAATAGTTCTGCAAGAATATTTCTGTAAAACCTGCTTCTGTACACTTTCCAAAGCATCTTATCACAAAGAGTTATCCATTGTAAAAATTCCTTTTTCTGGTGTCATGTTATCATTTAACCTATAAATAAAGACACCAAAACTGACAAGACAGAGATGCCTGCCTGGTGATCAGAAAGAATCTCGGGGCTCTCTCACTCTCTCTCTCGCCGACACCGTCCATCCTTCAGGGACCCCTGGACCTGCTGGAGCCGGCTTGGCCTCCAGCATAATTCCTTCTGTGTTTGACCTTGAGCTTCCTAGGAGTAAACCAAAAAGTAAATTACGATGCATAATATCAATCATATTGTCTAAGGAAATACAACTTGGACAAAAAAGATACTTTTTCTTCCAACACTAATTTTCATAGAATCTAATCATCCATTCAAGAAATATTTACTGAATACTTAACCCTGTCCCAGGCAGTGTTCCCAGTGGGGAGATACAGAAGTAAACAAAACAGAGCAGACAGACAAAAGTCCTGCCCTCAGTGAGCTTCCATTCCAGTGGAGCAAGACAGACGATAAATAAAATAGAGTATGTCAGACAGTACTGAGAGCCAATGAGAAAAGTGAGGCTGCAACGGACAATATCTTGAATTTTCCCTTCCAGTAATAAAGCCACGGGATGATTTTGAGCAGAAAAGTGTCACGACCTAACAGATTCTGAAGGATCATTCTGGATGCTACGTCAAGTATAGATGTAGGGGGACAACATGCAGAAGCACAGAGACCAGTGAAAGAGTCTGTGAAGTTTTCCAGACAAGAGAAGGTAGTGAGAAGTGACCAGATTCTGGGTGTGTGTTACAGGTAAAGACAATAGAATGTGATAACTGGTTACATGTGAGGAGAGAGACAGAGAGACAGAGAGACAGGGAGATGGGGGTGGGGGGGTAGAGAGAGAGAGGTGCCAAGACGGTTCTGAGGTGCTTGGCCTGAGCAGAGGAGTTGCTGTTTACTGAGCTGAGTGAAGGAGGAGCAGACAGTGGGGAGAGATCGGGAGTCTGATTTGGGCCACGTTAAATGAGACACATCTACTGGACACCTGAGTAGAAATGTCAAGTCGGGCAGGGGGTCAGATAGGAGTGTGGGGTTCTCACGAATCCTTACATAAGGGATATGGGTGGTAAAAACGAGCAAGGGCTTTATCTTCACAATTATTTTTTGCCAAACGACAGAAATGCTTGTCTTATGACCATTTTGTTTCAGTCTGTGATTAAAATCAAGGTCATACTCTTCAATCGTAGCCAAGTGAAGGAATTTCTGGAAACAACCAAATTAGTGTAGCAAATGTGCTAAAAAATCTTGCCCTTGGGATTCTAACTTAGAATGAAGATAGAGCTTACTGAAGCTGGAGGAATGAGCAGTTTACAGAGACCTCTGTCTCTCTCAACAATGTTTCAGATTTGGCTTTGGCAAGAGTGAGCTCTTTGTATTTATTCTCCAGAGTAGACAGTTTGGTGGCAGGGTTAACATTTTGCTATGAAAGGAAGGAAGGAAAGAAAGAGAGAGAGAGAGGGAAAGAGAGAGAGAGAGAGAGAGAGAGAGAGAAAGAAAAGAAAGAAAGAAAGAAAGAAGAAAGAAAAGAAAAGAAAAAAGAAAAGAAAAGAAGAAAAGAAAAGAAAAGAAAAGAAAAGAAAAGAAAAGAAAAGGAAGGAAGAAGAAAACAAGATAGTCTGATAAATTTTCACCCAGATCAAAGGTGGTCTTGCTTTTACTTGGAGCCAGGTCACTATAACACCTGAAAGACCTACCCAAATTTTTCTTTTTTTTAATACTTATTTATTTATTTTGAGAGAGTATGCATGATGAGCAGGGAAGGGGCAGAGAGAGAATCCCAAGCCCAACTCAGGGCTCAATCCCAGGAACTGTGAGATCATGACCTGAACCAAAACCAAGATTTGTGCGCTCAACTGACTGAACCACCCAGGTACCCCCCCAAATTTTTCTTTAAAAGGAGCTGTGGGTTTATGCAAATGGGCAGCCAAATCCCAAACTGAGACCTCAGAATGGTAAGCTGGTGCTTGGCGACAATTTGGAACTGTCCAAGTTGAGATGTAGTGTTTTCCTGCCAAAAGGGTGGATGTCAGACAATGGCTAGGCAGACAGATAGAAGTTAATCCTCTCCCCAGCCAGATAATAAAAGTGCCCATAATCCCTCCAGCCCATACTGGTCTGGAGGGAAAAAACTGTGCAACTGTCAGAAATGTAGCAGAACTTCCAAAACAACATATCGGCAACATAAATGGGAAACCTCTCTAACAGCTGAGTTTTACCTCTCAAAGTATAAAAATCACAGCCTTTTAAAATTCCTTGAAGCCAGAGACTTCATTTTTCTTGTTCAGTCTATACCCCCAACACCTCCTAGAACAATGCCAGCACACAGTAGGCATTCATAAGATACTGACAAAGTAATGAATCAATCAATATTTAAAAATTAAAACAAAACCTCTGAGCGCCATCTTGTGGAAGGCCAGACCACACCGCCTTCCAAGATTACAGTCCTCAGCCTGAGGAATGGACACTGAAATTGTACAGGGCCTGAGGGGCCATGGACTACTGGAAGTAGTGGCCTAGGAAATGGTCTTGAAGCTGTGTTTGAAAACCAATTATGCTTTTTACTTAGATTCATGTGAGATTGATGGACATTGTAAGGGGCTACAAAAGTTCCCCCTTGCCAGCCCTTGACCATGGCCCTTAGAATAACTGAGAGGTATAGCTCAAAAGTAGCCTTTGACCAGGGCGTCTGGGCGGCTCAGTCCATTGAGTGTCCAACTTTGGCTCAAGTCATGATGTCACAGTTCGTAGGTTCGGGCCCCAAGTCGGGCCTCTGTGATGATAGCTCAGAGCCTGGAGCCTCCTTTGAATTCTGTGTCTCCCTCTCTCTCTACCCCTCCCCTACTCATGCTCGATCTCTAAAACATAAATAAATGTTTTAAAAAATGTACTTTTTTAAAAGAAGTAGTCTTTGACTAGTCCTCCTCACCAAAAATTGCCATAATAACCTAGCCTCCTTTGTGCTTCAAGAGATCCTTCGGAACCAAAGATGCAAAGAGCTCTTGGCACCCGGTAGCACCTCTGTCTTCCTGTTTCTCCTACACTCCTCCCCACCTCACCGAGGCCCCAGCTGTCACCCCATACTACTGGTAAGGACTTGGCCTCTCCTCTGCTTTTCTCCAACTTTCTCCACCAGGGAGGAAGAGAGGCGTAAATAAGTATTTGGTCACCTTGCTCTTGCTTATCTCCTATGGGACCATCAAGCAGAGGCAGAACCACTGAAAACCCCCAAGTTTCTCTGTGTCCCATGTCCTCACCCTGGAATTCTCTTTTCTCTCCTTCTCACCCCCTTCCCAAGAGCCTGACACAAGCCACTGAGAGACAATATGAAAAAACCCAGTGACACACCTGACATTCACAGGGCACTCATGATTCTTCAGGTTTTATGGATGCCTGGAATTTACACAATGTGATGAACACTCTCCAAAAAAAGAATTTAATATAAAATTATAAATATAAAAGTAGATGCAAACGTGAATCTTTACTTAGAATGGGAAAAGAAATCACAGAAAATTATTGACATTTCAAAGATCCAGGACCTATTCTTCTGAACTGTGTGTGACAACAGACCAGAAATAGATTGCAGCCTGGCCTCCTTGCCCCACCTGGGCCACTCGGCAACTCCCAGCAAATTCACTCAAGTGTCCGGGACATGTGACCTTCAATGACTTCCTCTCAGGGACTGTGTCCCCTCAGGGTAGCTTCCTGCTCCCTAAATCCTCCCCACAATCGTACCCTAGAGAGAGCAAAGAGGCCGCTGTCCTCTGGGCTGCTTGGGCGGGGGGGGGTGTCTTTGTCCTGGGACCCAGCAGGAGTGAGTTTACGCAGGGAGACTCCCGGGAATACACCCTGCCCCCTCTCCATCACCAACCCCCCCAAACCACTCGGCACCCATTGGCAGACTTGAATTAAAGGCTGTCAGCTTTGGGGGATTCAGACCACCCCCCTTACCCCCCACCATCTTAGCAGCCACCCACCAAACTCAGCCCTGGGCTCCAGGATTCCAGAAAGCTAATGTCACTGTACAATTTTGTAATCAGAGAAACAAAGCTATAAATATTACATACTATTAGATAAAGCACAAAGCAAAACAAAACTCCACCCAGTCTTTGCCGGCCCTCCTCTACCCAGGAGCAGCAAGCAGTAGGGCAGGCACTACCCGGCTGCAAACACCCACACTCTGCAGTCCATCTGTTTCCTTTGGGGAACACCTGACGCAGAGGGCCCAGGACCAAATAATGAAGAAAACTTTCTGGGCAGCCACTGCCACTTGGCCCAAGCACTTCCCCTGGAGCAGAGAGGCTGGGAAAGGGCAGCGGAGGGGGCACACAGGCTGGGAACTCTCAGGAGGTGCTGAGAACTCGGGCGCTGTTCCCATGGTAACCTAGCACTCACACAAACACGGGGCGCCGGGGTCTTATCGCTGGATGGGCGCCGCTGTCTGACTCTGGTAAGACTTCCCACATTAGCCGCCTAGTGCTGCTGTAGCAGCCCAGACTCCCTCCTCCGTCCCTCCTGGGCAGGAGGGAGTGGGGAACAGTGTGGAGGGTCTGGGAAACAAAGAAGCATCAACAAGCAGCCTTCTTGGTTTCTCTCCCTGTTCTCTGCCCCTCCCCCGGTTAGCCTTTCTGTTCCCTGCTTTGCTCCTCTAACCTCTATGAAGGCCGGTGTTGGCTCATGATCCTCCTACAAATAAAGGAGGAGTGGGTCCTTTCCACTCCAGAGAGCCTCTGGCTCTGCATTGAAGGAAAAACTGTGGGTGTGGACGCTGTGACTTCTTCCCCGTGGGCCTGCATAGCCCAGCCAAATAAGCAGAAAAAGAATTCCCCAGATGGAAAATTCCAGCCTTGCCTACAAACCAGTTCCTGTGACCCAAAGCCAATCACGCGGTGTCCTTGTGTTCCCTTCCGCCACCTCTCAAACGGGGGAGAAACGGTGTTCTTAACCTTCAGGGAGGTGGTGAGGCGTGTCCATTGGCTGATGTTCCTTCCACAGGTGTTCTGTGCCGGATCCCTGCTCAAGGTCACCCTCCTTGAAAGCTCAAACCTGAATACATTTGAAATTCTATTTATAAAAAGGGCCTTAGGAAATGACGTTTTAATGAGTACACTGGGGTGTCTACGCTGCTAAAAATGGCACTGATTGGGTTAGGGGTGAGGGGGTCAAAAGAACTTTTCGACTTCAGTGTTTGTCCCCTGGCAGTTTTTAATGTGGACCCAGATCCTCCTCGGAACTCACCAAAGCAGGCCAGCAGATGATCCCGAGAGGGAAGGCGGGGCCTTCAGCCACGAACCCTTCCAGTGCAGAGAGGGCTTATATACACAGCTCCTGAGGACAATGGCTGCAGCAACAGAAATGACCTGCATTTGCAAGGCACCATGGAGTACCCCGGGTCCTTCACAGATTGAGGCTTCTCCCCTTGCACAGCTGGAGCTCCCAGCTTCTGCTGGCAGCGCCCCCAGCCACCCCCAAGCTTCTGCGACCCATTCCATTCTCTTCAACAGAGATATCCTGTCTGAGCCCACCCAGAGCCCACCTCTTGGTAGCGTCTCCGTGGCAGGAGGGAAAGTTCCATGAAAATCCCAAACCGGAAGCAAGATGTGCAGCCAGTCCTGTGAGCCTTTTCTTCCTATGGACCATCTACTCAGTGCACAGACTTCTGTGTAAGTCCCGCCGTGTGCCAGGAGTTGTGTGAGGCTAGCGACCCAGTGGCCGAGGCAGACACGCAAACAAATGGAAATGGTGCGTGTGGGAAGGAAAGGACACAAGAGAGCTCCGGGGAGACGTTCCTCTAGAAGCACATCTTGACATTGACTCGGGTTTTAAAGAATGAACAGGCTTTTTTTTTTTTTTTTTAATGTTTTATTTACTTCTGGGAGAGAGAGAGAGAGAGAGAGACAGCGTGAGCAGGGGAGGGTCAGAGAGAGAGGGAGACACAGACTGTGAAACAGGCTCCAGGCTCCGAGCTGGCAGTCAGCACAGAGCCCGACGCGGGGCTCGACCCCACGAACCGCGAGATCATGACCTAAGCGAAAGTCGGACGCTTAACCGACTAAGCCACCCAGGCGCCCCAAGAATGAACAGACTTTAAATTGCTTTAGGAAATTCAAGACCCATCTGGGACCCCAAAACAGAAATCCCACTCTGGAAGAGCTGGCGGAAACGGGCACCGCGTTCTCCAGAAAACGAAGCAGGACTATGAATACACTGAGGTAGAAAAACAAGAGGAGACAGAAACACGGGCCAGTGGACAGAGCCCTCAGTCCTAGCTCCCCCACGCTTGCAGCGCCCACTCTGACAAGAGGTAATCCACCGCTGGCCAAAGGCCTGGCCTTCTCCCTAGGTGACCCTTAATGTTCAGTAAAGTAACACTGTTAACGGGGCCTCCTTCTAGGCGCATCAAGGGTTGACAGGAAATACATGAGCCCTACAGGTGTGTGTTGAATAAGCTGGACTGTCCTAAAACCAAATTTCTCTCCAGTCTCTTATTGGAAGGAACACATACAACGGTCCACCAAAATTCAAGGCTTCTCTTGGACCCTAAGATGGCTGAAGCCCGGGCTTCCCTTCCCTGCTGGTGGAGCTGCTCTGGAAAACACTGTTAAGTAGGGCCTTGGCAGCCACACGTCCTCAGCCTAGCATTTGCTAGTCTTCTCTTGGGATCTTAGGGGTTTACCGGGCCTTTTCAGGTTAGTGTTGCCCAACATCTCTTAGTCCACAAACACATGCCTGTGTTCTTCCCGCCCCACCAAAAATAGGAAGTGCTGGCTTAATAACAAAGAGTTTGTTTAATTTTTGATATCTAATCCCTCCAAACTTCTAATATTCATGCCCTTTTTGACGGATGCCTTCACCTTGTCGAAGAAAGGGATGCTTAGGTCCCGAGCTTACTTCTCAGCTCCAAATCCATCGACGACCCCCAGTCCTGTTTCCATTGGTGTTTGTGACAGACTTCAGCTTTATGTTGGTTCACAGCTTTGAGCCATGCTTTTCGAGCTCAGCTACGTGTGTGCAGCTCTAGCCAGGCGCTCAGGGCCCTGGGGCCCACTCCTCACCCTTTTTACAGCCGCTCCCGAAGGAAATAAACACTTTCAGCACGCCTCATCTGGGTCATCATTTTCTGAATTGACAACAGGTGGAGCTCATCAGGCCTAACCAAATCCACCTGTGCAACCAACTGTCTACAGAGTTGCAGGAATTCTGGAAAGCACTGAGAGGGTCAGCACCTAACAACGGCCCAGAAACCACTAATTCCCAGGACTTCGTAGCCTCTTGGCTGCTGATACTCCTTTCCTCAGGAGGGGCTCACTGCCTCAGAGGGATCTGTCTTTGAACAAGCCAGGGGGCCAACGTGGGCTAATGGTCTACCAAGGTCACCTGTTCTCTGTCCTACAAAATTCCTCACACTTGGGAACCTGTAGGCTCCCAGCACCATCCAGGGCTCTGCAACATGAGCAGACCAGCCATTCTGCCCGGATTCCTGAGGATTCCAGTCTGTCTAGTGAGGGCAATCTAACTGCCGGAGTCATTATGCTTGGACAAACCCCATGAGCAATCATACCAAAAAGTCTCTTTGCTCTTGGTCTTACCAGCCTTTCTAGTGATAAAGTGGGTATTTGCATGTCACAAATGACCCCCTTTCTCTCTCATATTGTTCCCCCTCCACCAGTCTCTCATTGAAATCTAGAATGCTCCTTCCTTTTCCAGTCCACCATGTGACAATGTCAACTGGCTAGCCAAGACAACTAAACTTCATTTATTTTATTTTTTAATGTTTATATTTGAGAGAGAATGAGAGAAAGGGAAAATGAGCTTAGCTGAAGAGGGGCAGAGAGAGAGGGAGACAGAGGATCCGAAGAAGGCTCCACACTGTCAGCACAGAGCCCAACCAGGGGCTCGAACCCACAAGCCATGAGATCACGACCTGAGCTGAAGTCAGACACTTAACCAACTGAGCCACCCAGGTGCTCAGCTAAACTTGATTTTTTAGGGAGGCCCGCCAGGGGAGGGAGAGAGGAGAAATGGTTATATCACTGAGCAGTAATAGCATAGCCCCTTTCATAAATGAGCCCTCCTTACCTTCTCCCTCCCTACACAGAATTCTCTTTCCATGTCTTTATGGTGGCTAAAGCCTTCCCACTGCCCTCCTGGCCCTAGAGCATCCTTTGGCTGGCATTCAATTAAGCGGGGACTGCCTTTGTGCCTCACAGCCTCACCCCTTAGAAGCCAGATATAATGCCGGCCTTCTCCTAGTTCCCTATTTTCTCCCCTTACAGATGTTCCTCCAGCTTATATTGACATTCTCCTCCTGCATTTTAATTCATGACATAATCATACTATACTGTATTTTAATTTTTTTCCCATCTCCCTGCTTAAGCAACATCTTCTTGAGGTCTATGCATGTGCCTTGCGCAGTCGTGTGGTCCCAGGGCCTGACGGTATTTGGCACACAGAAAGTCAATAACTGTGGCAAGAAAGAGGAAAAGAAGAAAGGGAAAGGAGATAGGAGGGAGACTTGGAAGCTTATCATTTTCAGTAGCACACTTGCTAAGGCCTGGTTAATACGCTGAATGATAGAATCAGATTCACAAAATTTGAGCAGCCTGAAAGGGTGAGGCAAAGCCAGCAAGATGGAATTTCAAATGGATCCACATAAACTTAAGTTTAGCAAACCAAAACAAAGTGCGCACACACACACACACACACACACACACACACACACAGAGTACAGAATATAAAAGTTACCTTCAAATATTTGTAGCTCGCTGTGGAGCAAATCTGTTGTGAGCAGCTCCAGAGAGCAGACCCGGAAAGGCTGGTTGAAAGCCCAAGGGAGGGAGATTTAGCAGAAGTCTGTGTAATTTGTTATGTGCTAAATACAGTGCCTCGCATGTAGAAACGGTGTCTGTGATCTCTCTTATCGTTATTACCAGCATCGTTGCCATTATTTATAATATTTATAAGAACTGTCCAACAATCGGCCTCAGGAAGCACTGAGCTCCCATCCCAGGAAATCCAAGGTTATCATTGGGTAACCACCTGTCTGGGATGTTTGTCAACCTGATTCCTAACCCCTGGTCTCCCTTTCTCCATAATCCTGTAATTGGAAAACAATGCTCTGTATATCCTGGGTAGTGAAAGCTACAGATACAATCCCTGACTGAGCAAGCTGTCTTTTATATAAAAGAAGCTTTGGCACTCCCTACATTTGTTACAGTGTGTCTGCTTCAAGCAGCCCCTCCAAGAATCCTCTCTGATGTTGAAAAATAAAATTGCTTTGTGTAAAGGCTCCTTTAATCTTATATAGATACAAATGCCTTGTATCTTTGGGGACATGCCAAACTGCTCTTTGCATTTCAGAATTAATCTCATTAAAGAAATCTCTGTTAATCCCCACTGCTTTTTGCCAGAGATGTTGAATAATTCCACACCTGTTCCTACTGGCTCTGTGCTGTGTACCTTTCCTGGACTTGGCATTGTCCAAGAAAACACATCGCTGGGTTTAGACTGGATCGTGGCATTCCCATGTTTTGTTTAACGCTGTCATTGTAGAAATGTTCCTTTACACATCCCTTATCTCATTTTCTTAGTTTGAAGAAAGGAAAGAAAAGGAAGGGGTAGGAGAAGCTCGCCTATTATGAAAAATAACAAATGAAATGATGAAGTTGCTTTATTAACTATCCAGTTCAATATAAACTTATGATAGCCCATCAGTATTGCTAAGAAAAATGCAGTTTGTATAAGATAAAAATCAGTCGTCTCTTCCCAAAGAATACAGGAAATGCTTGATTAGGCTACCGGGTTTATAAAACATGTATATAAATGTCTATTTTACATACACATCTTCAGTTGGATGAAACTACTGACACTCTCCCTCCCTCTCAACACAAATTCTGGACGTCCTCCATTAGAAGCCATCAGTGAATGATCGCAAGTTACAAGCGTGTGAAATAATCACTCATTTATTCATTTCAACAAATAATTATTAACCTCCTCCTATGTGCCAGGCATACTTCCAGGTGGCAGAAACGTAACGGCAAACAAAAGTGAGCAAAATTTCTATTCTCCAATATACAGATCAATAAACGTGATACAAATGTTATGAAGAAAATAAAACAACATGATAAGATACACAGCAATTGGGGGTAAGGGTGGGGGTGGGGGCAATTTTAAGTCAATGGCCCAAGGGAGGCCTCACTAGAGAGGTGACATTTGAGCTAAAACTTAAGGAGGAAAAGCCAAGCATTTGAAGATCTGGAAGAACTTTCCAGACAATGGGAAGGGCTTGGGTGGGAAGAGGCTGTACCATGGGGAGCAAGTAGAGTTCCAGAAAGGTGAGAACGAAGGCAGGAGCCAACACAGGCAAGCTTTGAAGGCCTCTGAAAGTGAAGCAGAAACCACTGGAGGGTTTTAACCACTGGAGCGACATGATCCAATTTCTGTGTTTGAAAGACTGCCTCTGAAGAAGAGATTATCAGAGAGCGAGAGCCAACGTGCAGAGGGAGCCATAGGAGGTGGTGGGCTAGACAGGGGGAGCACAGCCATAGTGGGCAGAAGAATGGTTTCAGGACACTTCTTGGAAGACGGTGCCAAGAGCACTTGATGATGGGTTAGCAGACTTGGGAGGGTGAAAGAAAGAGGAATCAAAGATGGCTCCAAGTTTCTACGTCTGAGCAAGTCCGTGAGTTATACCAAAGCTTCCCAAACTGTCTCGGTCCATGGTGCCTTTAGTGTCCCAGTGAATGTTTCATGTGGCTCCCCTTCACCAAAAGAAATCCGTACAGTTTTCATTCATTAGTCATATCCAAATAACTTAATAAATATTGTGTTGCATCTTTATGTCACATCTTTATGTCACAACTTTCTCCAGAAATTGAAAGAAAAAATAGTGCTTTTATTTCATTCTTGAATAGCCATGATGACTCTCTAACAGAATGTGTGTGCCCATCGGGCATTGAGTGACTTCTCCAATCTTGGAATCATTACACACAGCCACCCTCGTTTTCTACTGCACGCTGATTTCTACATGGTACTCGCTTTTTATCTCAACAACTGCCAAAAACCCAGCTTTGCAACATATGCCATCATTAAAAGGGATAGAGCATCATCAAAAATGAGGTATTCAGACAATATCCAACAGATGTCGAGCATTGCTGTTTTCTTCAAAAATTTAAAATCTCCTGCAGCATCCCTGTAAACTCTCTGCAATGCACAGGGACTGTCCATGCTCAGATTGGTCAGACCATTTAGTACCCTGGGCAGGGGGCAGAAAGGAAGGTACTATAAGTGAGGGCTGCTTCGGTTAGATGTCCATGGTGAACATTCAGGGAGAGCTCCTGCCCAAGGAAGGTTAATAAAGAAACACACTGTCCCGCAAAAGTAAACTGTGCCAGATTAGCATAGGGAAACTATCCATTTTCCAGTATTCTTAGGGAAGGGGGTATTCTCTGGCTAATTTCTGGGTAACTGAGAGCTAATGAGAAAATGTTTTTCTTTCAGCTGTTATTATTGAAAAATCTCTTGGCTTGGATTGAGTTCACTCCCTGACATTGTAAGTACTGAGCCATGAGCATAGCTGATCATAACTGCTGTTCCGGGTCTTGAAGTCCACATGGTCATGATTGCCAATAATTCTTACTGTTTTCCCTGTGAGACACACTACGATCCTTGAAACAGCAATGTCAGGTGGATCTCCACAAAGTGGATTTTATTTTCCTATATTAACTTCTTTAATGAATATTTATTCATTTTTGAGAGAGGGAGAGAGAGCTGTGTGAGTGGAGTAGGGGCAGAGAGAGGGGGGACAGAAGATCCAAGGCAGGCTCTGTGCTGATAACTGTGAGCTCCGTGTGGGGCCCAAACTCACAGACCACGCAATCATGACCTGAGCCAAAGTTGGACAGTCAAGCGACTGGAGCCACCCAGGTGCCCCTTGCATAGTAACTTCTAAGAGCACTGCATTTCCTATCAAGAGCACTGCATCAGATAATTCCTAGCTGTGACCACCAATGAGAAATAAAACATCTTATCCACAAATTCTGTAATCAAGAAAAAGTTCTGAACACTGAAAACCTTGATAAAGTTGTGGCAAACTCCTCTGGCCACAAAGCCTGAACTGCTAGAACTCAGTTCAAAGCAAAATCCAATGTAAACTGACATGGGGTGTACTTACAGTTTCTCTTTATCCCACCTGTTGTGAAAACGTACGTGTTTTGCACTAGAAATCCTAATAAGACTTACTGCCACCTCCTGCCCCATGACCCCCGTAGGGCTGGTATATATTTAGAATATAGTCACTGTAAGGACAGCCTAAATCAGCAACAGACCTGAAAGCCACAACACAACTGGTCCTAAGGGTTTGAATATGGGATGGTCTTTGGAAACATAGGGCTGGAAGGAACCTAGAGCCCTTCTAGGTCAATCCACTGATGTTACAAGTGAGACGAGAAGACTAGACACAAGTGGGAAGAACAGGAAACATTCAAAATCACATGTTCAGTTTGGAGCTCAGTCCAGACAGTGCTATTCCTCCTGCCATTGCTGCCCATGGCCCTGTCAGACAGGCAGCCTCCGTGGGGGCTCCCGTGGGATGAAAACGCAGATACCCCAGCACATCAAAAGTATTGATGGGGCATGCCAGCAATACGCTTCTACTGAGATCCTAAGTTGAACTATCTGAAAATGACTGTCATCTGGTGTAACGGTTCTCAATAATCCCACCATTTCCCATGATGTTAAAGATTGGAGGGAGGTCAATTCAAAGACTCTCAAAAATCACCGCAGAAAGCTATTAACTAGGGATGTCTTTCCATCTAAATGAATTTCCCTTTAACAAATAGAAGCTCTAAATATTATTTTTTTTATTCTTTTAAATTTTTGCAGTGTGATTTATAATTGGAATTGGACAGACCTAGTGGGGGATCCCAAATACAGAATTTAGCTGTGTCCTAAGGCCAGTTAGAACCTCTGCAAGCCCTGGTTTTCTAAGTTGAAAAAGAGGATAATAACACTTTACCTGACTTTTATGAATCTTTAAATTTTAAATGATGGGGGCCCCTGGGTGGCTCAGTCGATTAAGCGTCCGACTTCAGCTCAGGTCATGATCTCACGGTTCATGAGTTTGAGCCCCATGTTGGGCTCTGTGCTGACAGCTCAGAGCCTGGAGCCTGCTTTGGATTCTGTGTCTCCCTCTCTCTCTGCTCCTCCCCTGCTCATTTTCCATCTCTCTTTCTTAAAAATAAATAAACATTAAAACAACTTTTTTATTTTAAATAATGTAAAATACCTTATTCTGTCCTGGGCACTTAGGAGATGCTCAGTAAAACCCCACTTCCCTGGGCCCCCTCATCTCACCCTGTTTACTCTATCACAGAGAATGATTGTTTAATCTGGGGTGGAGAGGTGGGTGCTGAGAACTGAGGCCAGTGCCCGGAGAAGTGCTGTTCTCCAAAGAATACAGTCTCTCAACCCACATGAAAGTCCACGTGGGGAAGGAACACTCTTCTGCAAGGGCACCCCTGTGTTCAAATCCTAGTTTGCCAACTTTTTACTTGTCTGACCTTAACCAAGTCATTTGATTTCTCTGAACCCGGGGGGGTTGTCTGTAAAATGGAGATAATTGAGCAACAAATGTTGCTCAAGGACACCATGATGAAGATTCAATCAGGCACATACTGGTTTGGCAACTCAAAGCATTATACAAATCTTTGGAGCATAGAGAAGCAGGAGAGTAGCACCCCAAATCTAGTAGCACCCCAAATCTAGAAGCAGGCAGTAGGGGACAGTAGAGCAAAGGTCTTGGGTAGAAACGTGCCTGGCAGTGTTAGGGACAAGGCTGAGGCCAGGGTGGAGGTGGTAAAAGGAGGGAGACAGCAGGAGGAGGCAGGTGGGAGCGGTGACGGGGGCCAGTCAGGAAGGACCTGCTCTCCTGAAAGGGCTTTGTCTTTTGATGCAAGGTGTGAGCCATTGCAGGCTTTTGCGCAGAGGGGTGAGGTGATGAGACTTAGGTTTGGGCGTTTTTTATGTTTATTTATTTATTTTGAGAGAGAGAAAAAAAATGCAAGCATGGGAGGGCCGGAGAGAGAGAGGGAGAGAGAGAATCCCAAGCAAGCTCCAGGCTGTCAGCACAGAGCCAGAGATGGGGCTCGAACTCACCAGCCATGAGATCACGACCTGAGCTGAAATCAAGAGTCAGATGCCAGGCACCTAGGCGTGCCAGGACTTAGGTTTTACAAACTGGCAACCTGTGGAGAATAGACCTGCTGGGAGGTGCCTGCAGACGTCGAGGACAGACGTGACACTGGGCAGACCAGGGTGGGAACACGGGGCGCATGAGGAGTGGGAGATCCTTTGAAGGAGGGGCCAGCCTGGCTTCCTGATGGATGTGACACAGGGTGAGGAAGAGAGAGAAGAGATGACTCCACGGGCTCTGTCAGCAGCAGACGGGCCTGGGGAGGAAGAACAGGATCTGAGTTCGGGCCCCGAGTCTGAGGTGTCTATTAGACGCCCCAGTGGAGATGCCAAGAAGGGAGTTGGATGTCCGAGCCTGGGTGGCCTGGAGAAAGGTCTGACTGCTACCTGCAAACACTTCAGAGACTGTCAAGGGGAAGAGGAGTGAGAACCCTTCATTGGATGAAGAAGGCAGGCAACGGAGTGGAAGGCAAAGTGAGGAGGGCTCAGATTCAGTCTGAGGACTGCTGAATCGCAGCCGTGGAAAAGCTGAATGAGCAGCCTCAGAAAGGCTGCCTTATGTTTATAGATTACAACCTCGTGAAATCCTGGCTGAGAGTCGGAAACAGACTGACCCGCTATGTGGGAGGGCCTGGCACACACAAACGTCACCATAAAAGTCTTCCCCAGAAGGTTCCAGCCTCCTGAGGATAGGAGGGCTCCCTTCTAACAATACCTGTGGCCACCTTTCCCCCCAGCGCCCCGCCATCAGGACTTGGACTGAACAGCAGACAGACCCCACTCTCGAAACCTCTGCACTAGGCTGCAGCCGCTACCAGGGAGCAGGGGAGTGGAAAGCAATCTTTTTGTTTTCCCTCCCCATGCCATAATCTAAGTAAGACTTCAGAAGGCCATACACACAATACACATACACACACACACACACACACACACACACTTTTACTGTCGGTGCTGGTAAGAGTAAGTGTGCAATAACAACATAGCTTGCGTTCTGAGCTCATCTTCAAAGAGATTGGTACCATTAGTTTCCCCCATTTTACAGATAAAGAAATTAAGTCACAGAAGAATGGATAACTCACTCCAAGTCGGATATAAGTGGCCAGGATGGATTTAACGTCAACAAACCTGGCCCCAGATCCTGACCCCTGTGCTGTCTGCTCTTTCGGAAGTTTACTTGTTTCTGCTTCAGTTCTCTCTTTCCATTTTCACACAGCCTGCTCCTCTGCTGATTTTCCGAAGTGGTTCTGTCCAAAGCAGTGCTGAGTTATTGACCAGAGACTGGTTAATCCTGCCGTCCCCGCTGCAGCCCAGGGGAGCTGGGCGGGGAAGGGTCCATCAGCGGGTGTGCGCAGGACCCTTGGAGAGGGGAGGTGCGGCAAGGGAGCCCTGGCTGGGGCAGGGGGCTGTGCACCGGAACCCAGCCCCCCCCCCCCCCCCGAGCAACTCTGTGCAGGGACCAGAGGGCACTTGGGCCTCCATCTGCCTTCCTTGTCAGAAAAGCCAGACGCTTCCTTTCTTTTGAGAATGCAAAGGCAGAGGATGATGATGACAAAGAACTACCACATGGTGATGACAGACCAAGGGTCAGATGATGTCCCTGAGCTGCCTCCCTGGAAACATACCAGTACTGATGTCCGGAGGGCAGAGGACCCTGGAGGATGCACAAGGGGAGGAGGGCCGTGCTGGCCATGCCGGCAAATCATGTCCTTCTACGTCTTTCCATCCCCCCTCCGCCCTGAGCTGTCGTACAGAGCCACACGAGTGTGCAAAGCGAATGTGCTCATCCTCATGGAGCAGCCTGTTTTCCTGCCCCAGGGAATTGGTTCCCACCCAACAGCAAGTCCCTTTGCAGGTATTTGGTTTCCAAAGCATGATGCCCTCCAGCAAGGATAATCTGTAAAGCCACGGCCCCAGGGAGAGGCACAAAGAACATCTCAGGAGACACAGCACCCTCCCATCTTGGAAACCGGTGGGGAGACCCTACTGATTCATTTACCTAAAAAACCACAAGATGGGGCGCCTGGGTGGCTTAGTCGGTTAGGGTTAGCGTCCAACTTTCGCTTAGGTCATGATCTCACGGTTCGTGGGTTCAAGCCCCGCGTCGGGCTCTGTGCTGACTGCCAGCTCGGAGCCTAGAGCCTGTTTCAGTCTGTGACTCCCTCTCTCTCTGACCCTCCCCTGCTCACGCTGTCTCTCTCTCTCTCTCTCTCTCTCCTAGAAATAAATAAAAAAACATTAAAAAAAATTAAAAAAGAAAAAAAACACAAGAGCATGGAGCCCCTCTTTAGGTAATTCATCTGGGAACCAGAGGTGACAATTATTCTTCATGAGATCGGCCATTTACAGAGAACATGCTGTGTTCTATTTGTTACATTAGTTATGTCTTCCTCACGAATTTCAAAGTAAGAATGCTTGGAGATCCTGGCCTCGACCCCTCAGAATGACAAATGGGATCCAAAAAAAAGAAACGAAAAGAAAAATCACTTTAGGAAAATCAGTTGGCCTTTCATTCACAGTGCAGCGTGGAAGGGGTTATGTAGATATAAATAAATCTCCAAGATTATGGTCGAATGACCTCGATACAAAGTTTTACCCCTCTTCGTTAAATAAGCACATGTGCACAATCAGTAAATATACTTGGCAGAGAGCATTTATTAATACTTTTCTTTGCCCTTTCATTCATACATTCAACAGGTACCACCGAGTGCTTATTAAATATGTCAGTCGCCATGGTAGGTACGGGCACCCAGTGGTGACCTGTGTGAACATGGCACCGGTCGCCACCAGACAGCCTCGAGCCAAGGCCCCATCTCTCTGTGGGGCCAGAAAAATTAAGCCAATGCATGAATAGGCAAAGTGTGAAAAAGATCAGACCTTTTAGCGGATTGTGGATCATTTGCTCTCCCAACTTTCGGTGGAGACAGAGAGCCATGGCTCTACTATAAGAAAAACGTCAGGACCCATGTGAGGATGAGCCTGCCTGAGAATCTGAGCAGCTTATAGGCAGGGGTGGGGACCCACGCAGAAACAGGAAGGGCAGCCCCATTTCGGGAAGGCAGCCTGAGCTCAGCTGTCCTTTTTCCATGTGGGAAAGCCAGCACAGGGTTGCCCAAGGTTCCTATTTCTTTTTTTTTTTTTAAGTTTTTTTTTTATATTTTTATTTATTTCTAGGAGAGAGAGAGAGAGAGAGACAGCGTGAGCAGGGGAAGGTCAGAGAGAGAGGGAGATACAGACTCTGAAACAGGCTCCAGGCTCTGAGCTGGCAGTCAGCACAGAGCCCGACGTGGGGCTTGAACCCACGAACCGCAAGATCATGACCTAAGCAAAAGTCGGACACTTAACCGACTAAGCCACTCAGGCGCCCCCCAAGCTTCCTATTTCTAAGAGAAGCCGGAGCTCTTGATTTTTTATGAATTCTACTCATTCTAAATATTTGCTCTAAATTTTTTAAAAAACTTATTTAAGCTGAATAACATATGTCTGCCATCCTGCTTGGCTTCATGTAGCCATTTTGTGGAGCCAGTCTAAAGATTAGTGACCTGTAATCAGCTGATTATATGTGGCTGTTATAAAGTGGATGTTTCCTGTTGTGACCACACAAATGAAGCTGCAATCTCTCAGAAACCGGGGTCAAAATGAGTGGACATCTGAAGCACAAGTCAAAACCAGGATGTTTACCTCAGATGCTGGGTATCAAGTTGCCATTACTATTTATTTCCCCCTTATGGCTTTTCTTAGAATTTTCTAGGAGAATTAAAGGCAGAATGTGTAGAGTGCAGTTTCTTTTCTGATCTTTGACATGAGGCTGCAGCAGACTGGGCCTTTTCACAAGGCCTGATGAGAAAGTGGAAAGAAAAGATTCTTAACCCTGAATGACAGCCTGCCTTTGGTAAATGCATTCTGGGCCGTCCAGGGGATGGGGTGATTCTAACCTTTTATCTCAGGCAGCTAAAAAATAGGAAAGGTAGGAGATCCCCAAAGTGTAAGCATGGCTTTGACGGAGCAGCTGGTGCTTACATGTGCTCCTTCACCACTCCCAGGATAAGGACAGACACACCTCGTCTCCAATTGCTCTCGTCTCACCCAGCCCCTTCCTTCTCCCTCTGGCTTAGGGAGCTTACTCCATTGTGCAGAATAAATATCCTTTTTAAACCTTTGGGACACACTGCTCTAGAACCATCTGTTCTTGCCCTTCACTCAGTAACTGGTCACACATTTATTGGACATTTATTAAGAAGCAGGCATCAAGCTAACCCTTGGAGGTAGAGCAGGGAACAGGTCACAGAAGGTCACTGTCACTGAGACACAGTGTAGTGGGAAGGAAAGATTGGACAAATAAACACAGAAACATAATCAGAAATAATTCAGTGCTACAGGAGAGACTAACGAGGTGAGAGAGGATGGGCGGAATGACAAGACATAAGGTCAGAAACCTTGGAAGGTGCTGGATCTCACGGGGCCTAGAAGCCATAGAATGGGATGTACATTTTATTCCAAGTTCAAGGGAAAGCCATTGGTGGATTCGTAAGCACTGGACATCATGATCTGATTTATATTTTCACATGGACACTCTTCATGGAGAAGGACTATGGGGGTGACAGCAGTGGTCACAGGAAGGCTCATTTAGAAAGAGCTGTAGAGGGCACCTGGGTGGCTCAGCCAGTTGACCATTTGACTTTGGCTCAGCTCAGGTCATGATCTCACGGTTTGTGAGTTACAGCCCCGTGTTGAGCTCTGTGCTGACAGCTTAGAGCCTGGAGCCTGCTTCGGATTCTGTGTCTCCCTCTCTCTCTGTCCCTCCCCAGCTTTCTCTAAGAAAATAAATAAACTTAAAAGAAAATAATAATAATAATCATGGGGGAGCGGGGAGAGAAAGAGCTTCAGCAATTCTGCCTGGAGACGACACGGCTCACTGCAGGTCCTCACAGTGGGACTGGAGAAGAGTGGAAGGATTCTAATATACTTTTAAACAAGAATGAGTCCTTCTGGCCCTCGAGATGTTCACACCCTGTTGGAAAGCACAGATGTATATCCAAACCATGTAATATAGCAACATAGTTACTTGAATGAAAATCTGGAAGGTACAGATGGAGCTTAGGGTGGGGCAGGGAAGACTTCCCAGAGGGCCAAGGTGCTGGCAGATGCGTGCAAGCTGAGGAGTAAAGAACTATTTGCTGAGTAAACTCGCCGTGGGTGTGCCTTCTAGCAGCAGAGGCAGCGCCTGTGGCGGCCGTGAGCATGTGTCTGGCAGATCTCCAGCTACAAGGGCCTTTGCTGACCAAGGCCCGGTGACTGTGCCTGGAACCATCCTGCCTGTACCTCTCCCACTGCGTGTGGCATTTCGTTTTTCTCACCAGATTTCAAGCTCTTGCAAGACAAGACATCCTCTTTTTTTATTTATTTATTGGTGGCCGGGGGCGGGGGGGGGGGGGGGGGTGCACAGAGAGAGGGAGGGAGAGAGAGAATCCCAAGCAGGCTCCACGCCGTCAGCGCGGAGCCCAATATGGAGCTCCATCTCACGAACCGTGAGATCATGACCTGAGCTGAAATCAAGAGTCAGACGGTTGACCGACTGAGCCACGCAGGCGTCCCAACAGCCTCCTCTTGATTATTGTGGTAATACGTATTTCCTCTGATGACTGTACCATTAAACACCAAATCACTTCTTCACTCTCCAGCCCTCCAGGCTTACTTCAAATTGTGCAGTAATTGCAAAGGTGTTGCCTTCAGGTATGGTCTCTCCTACCAGTTCCTGGAGGGGAAAACCTCTGTTCCCCTTTTCATGCCTTTTCACAGGCGCTATGTACTGATGTGCACAGGGCCCCCCAAAGACAACTAAATGAAATGAGTGAGCGCAAATGGATTTAAATCAATATGCAATAGCGATTGGCGACTAATGGGATTTGATTCCTTTCTTGGTTCCCAGGATGGTGAAGCGACCATGTGCTGCGTGCTTAAGGGTTTCGTCTACTTAATGCTGCCCCAACATGTCTGCTGAAAATGATCAGTCATCAAGAGGAACATCACCCCTTTACTCTGCCACAACGTCCCAGCTTTCCACACAGACCATATCTTCAGAAGAAGAGTATTTAGAGAAAGACTATCTGTTTCCTGAAGAGGAAGAGTTTCTGGAAGAGGAGGAATATCTGTATGAAGATGACTACCTAGAGGAGGAAATATTGCTGAAGGGGAAGGAGTATCCGTGTAAAGACGAGTATCCGAAGGCCGAAGAGAATCTCCAGGGGGGAAGGGACGTGGAAGAAGAGTTTCTGTTTGGAAAATATACGAAGGACAGTGAGTATCTGGACAAGGGAGACTATCTGAAAGGAAAAGAGTATCTGGGACGGGGTATCGGGGGAGGGCCTCCTAAAAGACAGCAACTTATCCTCCGCCACGCCCAGGGGAAAAAGATCAAACTTGAGACAGAGCCAAAGCTCATCTGTAAGTCCTGCCCTCGGTACCAACAGGAAGAAACACTCATTCCTGACCAGGTTCTCCCGCCCTCAGTAGCCGCGCCCCCAAGAACTGTGCCCACGGCGCAGAGAAGCATAATGACCATAAGGCACCTATTCATAAACGAAACAAGCAGAATATAGCCCATAATTTGTATCTTTTCCTTATTGCACAAATAACACGTATCTGTTGTGGATGTGAGGGAAACTGTATAGGAGCAAAACAAAGGAAGCAAAAATCTCTCCCATCCAGAGGGGAATAATCACTTTCTCACTTTGGTTATACCCTCACCAGGCTTTATAAAGCGTGTGTAACCATTGCATCACACTCTATTGTATTTGCAAGCCGTAATATTTTTTTTAATAAATCGTTTATTGTCAAGTTGGTTTCCATATAATACCCAGTACTTATCCCCACAAGTGCCCTCCTCTATGCCCATCACCCCCCTTCCCCCTCCCCGCCATACCCATCAGTCCTCAGTTTGCTCTCAACATTCAAGAGTCTTTCATGGTTTGCCTTCTTCCCTC